ACTTGTATTTAGTTTTAAACATATTGTATGGCTCTCACGGAATTACATTTTAAAATATGTGATGTTCATGGCTCTCAAACAAAAAGGTTCCCAACCCCTGCTTTAAAAGAAAACAATTAATGCTTCTACCCAAAAACCACTGAAGTTTTAAACACCTTTCCTGTTACAGAATTTGCTTAAGATGAATCAGAAATTTTATCTATCAGATTCCTTATTCCTGCACTTTTCTAAAGCTTTTACTGATCTTTATTTACACTGGAGAATGAAGTTCCTCCTTCACGGCTTGTATTTAGTACTTCCAGAAAAGGTTGAAGCCTTTTATTTAAAACAACCACTATAAGGAAAGGATACATTTTATTTGTGCTACCTGTCAGGGTCTGGAGTTCCAGTGAAGAAATGAACGCAAGGGAGATTAGGGTCTTGGGGAAGTATGGAAACCATGCTTCCCGTGGTCATGAAGGCACCTTCCATGTTAAGACCACTCTCTTTATCTCGAAGAATTGTCATCATTGTCTCAGCTGTTATATTACCTATGTAAGATAGAACATTTGTTTAATAAATATCAGTCATTTAATATATATGCAAATTTGCTAAAAAGCAGGAACATTAAACAACTTGTATATTTAGAAGAAATGACAAGAAATGGCAACACTGTAACTTCAACTTCCCTTTTCAACTTTAGATTTTTTAAAAACTGCTAAAGACTTACCTGTTTACTCTGGCAATCCTTGGAACTTTTGAGGCCTGTCTGTCTGTCTATCATCTATCTATCTAATTTTAGGTGCTAAGGTTATTTTAATTGTGATTTATTGTTGGGAGCCAGCCTAAGTACTATGAAGTGATAGGGCAAGGAATACATCTGGTATCTTTTTCTCAAATGGGAGGATATGAAGAGGACCATTCAGTCTCCACTTCTAACAGAAGAAAATTCTTGGACCACTCCTGGGGTCTTTGTTGTAGAGAACAGAAGTCAAATGGGCTTCTGGTTAGGGTTATGCAGAGGAAAAGCCAACAGAAAATCCCTCAGGAAAAAGAAGCAGATTAAAACAGGAAAATAAGAGAGCAAGGTTGAGCAAGAGTGTCCCATGAGAATGAGAGATGAGGCAGAAGGCCGCAAAGAAGAGCAGAAGAGGCTGGGAGAAAGAAGCAGCAAACAGGGTATATGCACGTGATCAAGAGTTGGTTGCAGGCTGGACATTAGATCTTGTCTTGAAATAATCGGCCAAATCTCTGGTCTCAGACTACTGTAAATCTAAGAAAATATTTTCCTTGCATAGCAACGGTCACTTTTCCAATTTAGATTTTCAGTATTTCTTCCTGTAAATTTAGAATACTCAATAACCATTTTAGAATAGCAATTGCAGTATTAAAACAAATCCTTTATATCAATTTTAGAAGATTTCCTCTTAAACAAATGAAAGTAAAATCTGTAGAGACCAGAATGCTTTACAGTAATGATTCCCTCTCAACTATGCTTTTTAAAAAAGCCTAAACTGCATTGACTGATAACTTGAACACCTGGTGTGACTTAAAAATGGTACAGTTAAGTACCTGAAAAATAGGGATTTAGAAGAAATGCACTAATAGAACTTCAAAACATCCATAACCTTAGACAGGTATTAAAAAACTGTTCAGCATTCAGAACCTACCATTCTGCAAATGAATGAGATTTGCATGATCACAGGACTATTACAGAGGGAAGCAATCCACTAGGAAGCCCAGAATAACTACTGCAATTGAGAGTGGCAGGACACAGTAAAATGAATATTGAAACAGAAGGGTGCAATTGTATTTGGGCTTGGTTTTTTTTTCAAAGCACACACGCCTTTACATGTAATTCTGATTTATATGCTGAAGCTGATAGCAGCAAGGGAGAAAATACGACCTCTTCCCTTACTCAGTTATTTTGGAAATTTTAACTAAGCTTCAAGGCAGGGGGAAGAACTATTTGAAAGCAGTATTCTCCAACCAGGATCCCTCCACGTGTGTGGTCAAGACTGCAACTCCCAGAATCCCTGGGCAGCAGGGCCACTGACCACACTGTCTAAGAATCTGGGGAAGTACAACCTTAGCACATATGGAGATCAGATTGGAAAGGGCAGCTCTAGAGAATGAGTTTCTGGCAGGATATTTTTGGGTAAACAACAGAAGTTTTGTTCTAAATAATATAAACAGTGGGATTACAAGATTGCCACAACACCTAGCGAGAGAAAGAGATGGAGCAGAAAACAGGCCTGGGGAAAGAGAGACACCATACAGGTTCAGACAAGCACTGAAAAGAAAAACTTAAACATTCTAAAGGGCTTAAGCTGACATTCAAGGGGTATCCTGTGTCCAGAAAGTATTGGTACTCCTTGCACAGACAAATGATAAGTGGATAATACATTTTATAGTGGTATAAGGTCTCCTGCAGTATTTGCTTAAGGGACTAAATGACTCAAGTTGTCCTGCACATAAAGCCTGTACCATGACAAAACCTCAGAGGAGAGGTTTAAAAATAATATTTCACTCAAACAAGCAACCACCGTAACAAGAGCCCTGAGAGACATTTTCCCACAGAAAGCAGATGTCATAGTATTCCTAATACATACATCAGAATGAAACTTAATAGGGATCCAGCTGGAGGTAAGCTATTTAAAATGAACAGTCAGTTACCGTATTCGTTAAGGATTATTCCAAAAGTTATGGAGTTTGACATTTGCATCTTAAATTACTTTGGGGGGCAGTATGCAGGTCTCTGTTCAAAGCAAAACCAAGAAAAAATATGATTAAGATATATATTTACCCTGTTCTTTCAGGTAAAAAAGCTATATTTTGAATCTCTTAAAACACTACATCCAAACCCAATGACTTTCTAACTTGCAGCTCTAAAGTCACCTATAACTTAACAAAGGTACCTGTATGTTTCTTCAGTAATTTATAGCCTTCACGGTATCTGCCACTTGTAGTTGTCATCCTGGCGGTATTGACATATGAATATGTGGCAGCAAAATCAAATACTTTTTTGCCATCCCACCAGCCTTTGCTTAGAGCATAATTCCTTAGCTCTGGGTGCTCACGGTCAATTTTAGTTGTGATTGATAGCTGGTTGGAAATATTCCGCGTTCCTTCTGTTTAAAAAGGAAAGGAAAACAAGCAATTACACTTTTAAATGTTTCTGCACAAAACTGACCTATTTAAAAATTATGAAATTGAGATGTCTAGATTTACAATAAGAAATTTCAGGAAAACGCTAAACCCCACAATATAAGTGTTGACTGCTTCTTGACCCATCCCTTTCTCATTTGCAATAATTACACCCGGCCACAATAAACACATCAAGCAAATAAACTATACTTTGCCTCCCAGCTAAAATTGTAAATATCCAACAAGTATCAATTTAGGCAGTAGAACTAACTCAATACCGTGATTAGAAAAGAGAGAAATTAAGCACATGATTGGAAGAAAGTAGCCAGATCTTGGCAGCTGAAACATCTGAGCCAGTTTTTAATATAAAACTAAGATTCTTCATTACAACTGCTAATCCCCCCAATTGACTTAAAGGTTCATGGAATCATCTGGGCCTGTCACTTCTAAAATGCTTTCCCTTTCCCACCTGTCCTCTTTTTCTTCAGTGCTGAAGAAATCTGAAAAAGGGATGTAAGTTGCTCCAGAAGCCTTTCAGGCTTAAATGAGGAATATAGGTGCTTTTTATTTTTAAAGGCTCTGCTGGTAGAGAAGAGATTATCCACAGAATGTAACTGTCCGAGCAGAAACAGGCTTGCTTTCTATAAAAACCATGATAGCATCAGTGACATCACTTTTATCAGCGTAGCTCTGCGGAAGCCACAGAAGATAGATATTTCTGCCTATATACATATTTATTGTCTACTGAGAAGTACTGAAATTGAATAAAGGTTATTATTCATACGTTCTATTTTCTCTGCAGCCCAGTACTTTCCAGAAGTTTCCAGAATCCAAGCTTCTTTTCTGTCTGCTATCAAAAAGCTGTTATGATATGTAAATGCCATTTGACTCTCCATACAGTTTCCACCTTGATTATACTTGTCCACCAATTCAACAATAATACTGATAGCTTTTTCTGCAGTATCCGCTCTTTCCAGTCCAAGCCTAAAATCAAATCAAAGTATTTAGCTTTTTGTAACATTCTTCACCTTCAACTTTAAAAGACAGAATTTGAACATGCACATTTATTTCTTACATCTAGGCTCATGCTCAGAACCCTAACACAAAGTTTTTGGGATGAAAACAATCACACGCCTCTACACAGCATCCTAGCAACTACAGAATTGTCATTACGCAATGACACATGTGCCATTTGTCTGTGTGCGCGCGCAAAACTTCCCTACAGACATCCTTGAGCTAAGTGAGTTGTCCACAGGAAAACTAGATTCTATGAACTAGTAGCTTGTAGCTTTCATGGTTCCTGGGCAAGGCCAAAGTAATTCCTCCAAATCCTACATTTTAGTTTTCTGTTTTAGCAGCACCATTCTTCATTAAGCCCTTATTTACCCATAAACCTATACCCTCAAGATCAAATACCAGAGTTGTTTATTTTCCATCTCACATAGTATATTCCAAAGGCAGCTGTTTGACAAAACACCACAAGTACAGAACAACCAATTAGTTCTCACTTAGTTTCACATGGGAACTAATGTGAATCCAGCAGACTTAATGCCAACCTGACAAGGTCCATGCCAAGGAGCGCTTCATCACTGCAGACCTCTTCTTTTCCCCATACTGCTTCATTCCCAATGCAAACTCCACATTCATTGGCTCCCATTTCAGCACCCCATAGCCAGGATGGACGACTCAGGACAACTGCATATGTTTCTGGTACTTGTTCGATTTCTATGTAAGTACACTGCAATAATGGTAATTTCAAAAATATTCTAAGAATTACTTCTTAAATCACATACAACAGATTCAGTACAATGGGAATTCCCAGAGCTCTGGGACCTTCAAACAACTTCTCACCAGGGTTATGAGTTTCTTTTGAACAAAATGAGGTCCTGGAATTTAGAGGTTCCAATGGAAGACAAGAGCAAAAATCTGAGTGCCCCTCACAAATGTGTTTGTATTGTCTAAGTGTAGACCATGGGCTTAAATCCTGCCCTTAAGATAATTTTTCTTATGAAAATTGTATCTAAATTCAGCAGAGCTATCCTCATCCAAGATTTTACCTTTAAATTCAGGATAAAGGCCTACAGACTAGAATTAGAAATGAATTCCAAGAACCTGATGAAGTGTTTCTTGAAGATAATAAACTGGGATAAGCAACAACCCAAAGTGGAAGGAAGGAGGCCTATGCCCTAAAATATGCCACATTACTATATTCTAAGCTAGAAGATACATTTATTTTGTTGGAATGGCCCCTAAACAATTTTGCCCTGAGTTGTCTGTCACCGTACTAAGGTAAGAACGGGAAAAAAATCACTGAAAACTGGGCATTCTGACCATATACCCCAAGCCAAATATTAATATTGATGAAAAAGATTCAATAATATATTTGCTTGCAAAAGTTCCCAAAATATCATAGGACTAGGAAAGACTGATACCTGAAATTATGAAGAACTACTGCCATTTAGTGCAAATAACAGTAACTAGATTCATACACATTGTGCCAACCCATAGTTTGTTTAATCATGGTTTGGATTACAACTGGCTTGGTTTACATAATGCATTAAATAATAAACCACAGTTTATAAGTTGCAATGGCTGAGTTTGCACAATACACAAAACCCAAAATCAAGCAAACCACACAATGATTAATTGCAACCTTGAACCAAAACTTAACAGCTAACTAAGTTGGATTCTCCAATGATCTGACTTGGAATAAGACAGATTTTGATGGTTCTAAGAAAGACACTGTTCAGTCTCTCTCTGCCACTCATGAGCAGCTTCCATTCTTGGTTCCTAATTCCAATCCAGTATAGGTGTCTACTACAAATAATGATGCAAAAATGATGAAATGCACATCATGACATCATGACATAAATCCCAGACCATGGCTGCAAGTACACAAGTCACATTAATGATGAAATATGCATCAAAAAATTGCAGTGCACATTTCATCATTACCACCCCTTGTAGATACCTATGCAGGCAAGCTGTATAACTGCACAAGCATGTGATTTTGGAAACAAATATGTTTCATTATTTTACCTTCTAAGGTTCTCAGATAAAACTTCCCAATAGGTTTTATGATCTATCTAGGAATGTTACTCTTACCTCAACTTTTTGTCCTGGATCATGAGTAGCAGTAGGAAAAAACACAATCTCCTGGACTTCATCAGAAGGCCTATCAGAATTTTTTCCAAAGATGATTTGGCTACCTAGTGTAGCTGGAGGCAGAGCCACAAAAGTATCACAGGAAAAGGGTTCAGCCATCCTGAAAAACAAAATCAAGTAACAAACAGCCATATATCTCTGAATGCTCCATAACTGATAAACTGCTATCCTAATTTTCCTGGAGATAGTAATATATTTTATGAAAGATATAGTGGGGTTCATTGCTCAAGGGTCATCCACACCTGACAAATTCCCTCCCATATATATGGACTAGAATAAATTGTTGAGCGGGGCTTTGTGTGTCTAGACCAGTGTTTCTCAACCTTGACAACTTTAAGATGTGTGGCTGGGGAATTCTGGGAGCTGACGTCCACATGTCTTAAAAGTTGCTAAAGTTGAAAAACACTGGTGTAGAGACCAGGGGAATTTTGGATCTTACAGAGACCATCCACCACTCCAACCACTTTTCCCACTCTTTGTTAATGACAACGTTAGTGCTATAGAAATTTCTACAAAAAGGGCTAGGAGAAAAGATCACCCAGGGCTCAATTTCATCTTAAAGGTCTCTCTCCCCACTTGGACTGCAGTGCAACTGAAAGATGCAAAATAGGCAGCCCGAATCCAGATGCTTTTTGAGGTCAGATGCCACAAATGGTGAGTGTGGAATAGGCAGCAGGAGGAGGAGCATATCAAGTGAGAATGGCACGTGCACATAAGAAACAGGAAGGGGGAAGAAGGGAAACGCTGCCAGGCGAAACCAAGTGGCGGCCGGAAAGAGAGAACGGGCAACTCCATCCACGGCTTTCAGAAGCCCCGCTCTCCGCCAGTAGTTCCATACAAGTTAGTCCCAAAGCCCGCAAGGAGGTAGCTTTTCCCACCTTAGATGCTTCTCAGGCTGGTGGAAGACTAATGGGGGGAAGAGTTATGGAAGAAAGGAAGAAAAGAGCCCCGCCGCTTACCCACTAGCTTCTAGGCTGCTTGTACGAAGAAAAAGGCATAAACAACTAACAGGGTTAAGGTGCCACAACGCCACCGTTCATGCTACCCGGGCTTCCGTTCTCTCTTAACCTGAAGCCATTCTGGCTCGCCGAGCCCCGTTCATGGCGTTACGTGCGCGAACCAGGCCCCGGCGGCTCGCTCAACAAGGCTCAGCAACCCAGAACTTCGCCCAGAGCCGCCGCGCCGCCAAGCCCTACGTCAACTCCGCGCTGGACCGCAACTCGGTCTGGCGTCACCGCCTTGCCTTGCGCGTAACAGGCGCCGCGCTGCTGCTTTTCCGCCCTCCCAGTCGGCGCTCGGGTCCTGGGACCGAGCCGCCCGCAGCAAGGTAGCGCCCCGTCCTTCTCCAGCCC